CACGAACGGTGCCAGAAATATCTTGCTCAAATATTTGACAGAGGGTCAGGCTTTGGCCTGACTTTGGGACTTGAACCCATATGGGATACGATATGCATAGTAAAGACTAACTTTATTTATTCATATTGGATTCAATTTCAAGGGCAGAGATGATAATATCGGATATCAAGAAACATAAGTCAATGCTTTCAAACGTTACAGGCGATCAGGCAAAGTTGGGTGTAGCAGCAATTCTACCCGTTCTTCATGAACGAGGTGTTCGTACCGTGTCGTATGTCGATTGGAAGAAAATAGAAGAAAAGGAAATTGAAATCGGTAAACAGAGGCATAAGCCACGCGAGAAATGCGGAAGTGTTGAAGAGGCGTTGAAAATGTTGGATCAATTATAATTATTTCAATGATGAAAATTGAATTAGAGACTATTCTGTATACATAGTTCTTTTTCAAGGTAAAGAAAGAAATTTTCTAATATAGTATGTAATCTTTGTACATTATTCCGTAACGGATCAACGGAGAAAAACACTTACGTATGCATAAACACGCATATGTATACGCAGGGTTTCTTTGTACCTAAATCGGGAACTTGTGCATTATATATGTTCACATGAGATCTCATATTTAAATGGCATAAATTTTGAAAATCCGGAAAAATCAGTCTTTTTTATCTTCTCCCAATTCTTCAAAAAAATGGAATTAATACGAGAAGAAACGATTGACATACCCAACGAGAAAGGGCCTCTCATAATCGGAAAAGGCGGTTCTAATGTTAAAAGGATTACGTAAATAATTTAGATATTGATCATCCTTATTAATATTTTTTAGTATTGGTAAATCTAAATCATGTGAATCTTGAACTACTTTGACAGGGAAGAATCGGGTGCAAGGGTCAAAGTAGAAGCTAATCGTTTAAGGCATAAAGCCAAAATCACTGGAACAGATTCCCAGCGCGCCAATGCTAAAAAACTTATCAACAAATTGATTTACGAATCAAAATCAAGACAAACTATTCCAACTATTGGGTTTACGCTCTTGGGGTCAGATGATACGTTTAATCTCAGGGAAGCAATGTTTCGATTTGTTAAGTTTACGGGTGAAGACTCCAACGTGCATTCACAAAAAAAGGAAAAATATTATGTCGAAAAGATTGATAAAACCAATGAAGAAGATAAAGGAGATGAAATCGACGACTTGGCAAACCAGTTGCGTCACGGCCTCAATCTACCTCTTTCTAAAGGTGGCTACATAACATGGGACAAATTTGACGAGTGTCTTAATGTAATCTTTGAACAACTGTCCAAGGCTGATCCCACCAATTCCGTGGGAAAAGAAATTCGTCTCAACATATTTTTCGGCCGTGAGCTCTTCACCGGAGTCTTTAAGAAAACTTTTGATTCTCATGACTGGTGCTCTTTCAGTCGGGAAATTGGTCATTCAAAAATCAGCACGTCATTCCAACATATTTTACCACAGATTGCTGATAATATTCATTTGATCCAAGAGAAATTCGAGTTAAAGCTGCAAAAGGAGACACTTGCTGGTGACAAAAGAAGCATTAGCGTTTATCATAATCGGAATTATAAGAAAATGAAGTTGAAACTGCACTGGTTTGAAAAGGAAGGTAGTTATCGACCTTTTGCCTAAACTTTAAATCATCAACGGTATAAGATATCGTTTTATAAATCATTAGAAACATGGAAGATAACACGAGTCGCAAAAGACATAAATCGCGAAGGCAAGTTGATTCACAGTAATCCTAAGGATCATCGGTAATTCAAGTCTTTGACGAGTGTAAAAAAATTTTATTTATTTTTTACTTTAGGAATTGTCGATTTAGTTTCCGGAACAAGTATGCCTGACATGAGATTCTTGCTAAAGTCCCAGTACGATATTCGCATTGATAACAAGGATAAAGAAATGATTGCCGACATACAATCTAAACCTCTCGTCGAAAGAGAAGGATTGTGGTTTCGAATAAGTGATTTTAATGGTAAACTCGACTGCACAGGGATTAGACAGACGGTTAAAAAAAAAGTTTATGCGTGCGTGTCTGCGTTTTTAAACTCATGTCCGTGACGTTAATATTTTAGTAATTCGTGAAATTGCATTCTTTTATCCACTGAAGAAATGAGAAATTTCAGGTCACTCTACAAACCACCCTCCAAGAATTCCCTGTGAATCAAGGTCACGAAAAAAAAGTTGCAACGGAAACAAAAGTTACAACGGAAGAAACAATTTCGGTGAAAAACCTAAGTTGGAGAGCTGTTGAAAATATTGACAAATCGACGGCATTGCATTTCGATGAAGAAGAGCTCGGTTCCACAATTCGTGATACCATTGAATTTGCCAGAGAAATTGCGAAAACTGTTATGTGACTAGTTATAAATTTGATTGCTCAGCCGTTGAACATAACACAATGCAGAATATTTATAAATATTGGTTACACATGATATAATAAAAAAATATTTTTTTGTATGTTTTTATTCAGTTTTACTTGACACAATGTCTCTAGAATCTATCATAGAAAACGCACATCTTCTATTGCACATTACGTTGAACGCGAATGTTGGCTTTGCAGAAATTTCTGCTGACCGAGAAAAACTAATTTTTACGAATAAAGAGAAGGAATTGCTAAAGTGGTTGGAACGACTGGAGTCGCTTAAAAATCAACGACGCGAGCAAGAATATGCATTGCAAATACAAAGTGCGCCCTTTATACTCAAAACTACTTGACCCGAGAGTTTGATAACATTTTAAACCAAAAAACATTTACCACCCGTAGAACACATGTCAACGTTTAACCTTGTTGAAACTGCGAACGAGTTTAGGCTAAAAGAAGAAATCAAAAAGAAAGAAAAAGAACTAGCACTTTTGCGAACAAAAAATATGGTTAAAGACAAGGTCATAGGAAGGTGCGGATAGAAGTACGTGAAATGAAACCTGACATTAATAATTTTGCGTTCTCAAATGAATTTATATAATCGAAAGTGTTGAAATCGGACGCGCCATTCTTTCCTCGCTTTACTCCTCAAATTCCGGCTCACATGTTTCGTATCCTTACCATCTTGTTTCATGTATATCCTCGTAGATGAATGCTATTGATCCTAAAAATTCCGCCACTTGCAGATGCCTCACTAAGCTTGTAAACGAGCGTGATTCTCTGGTATCGGAATTCCTAACTTCTCATCAGGAATTACTCAAAGCGCGAACTGAACTGGCAAAATTACAACAATCTGTCATTAGTTTGTTTTCCTTTCAACATTCATGTCATTCTGTTTAACTATTATATAATTGCCTTACTAAAATTTTTGTCCAGTGTGTCATAATGATAATCGGGAGTTGACGAGAAAAATTAAGGATGTTCGATCACAGTCGAGCGCGTCAACCTCTGCAGATCTTAACCGCTTGCAAAGGTGTGCACGTGATTCTTCTGGAAAATAGGCTTTTATGATGTTGTTCGTGTTTCAACTCGTTTCAAATTTTCAGAGACCTATCGGAAGCCGAAGCAAAACTTGAGGTGACTAAAAACGTCCTGCAGGTATTGTCAACGCGTAGTCATGATACGATAATATAAAATCGTTTTATTTTATTTCTTAAATGATTCCAAAAATTTCTAGGATTTGATACTCGAAAGCGGAGTCAATTGGGTTGCAGACGAGCATTTATTGAAACTCATGTTGAATATTGGGAAGGAAATTTGATACCTCGGGGGGAGTTTTGTAGAAAAGTCACGTGACCGAGATATAATAAATTTATTCTGGCATTGAGATAAAGTATAAGTAAATGCGCATTTTCACGCAAAATGAGCCTAAATTGTTAGGACCGATGTGCACCTGATCACATTCAAGCAACCTTCCGGCCTGTGCCGACCTTTTGATCTAATCTATAATTAATGCTTTCCATATTTGCTCCGTGATACAAATAAACATTGATTTTTATCACGAAATTGATTGAGATTGATTTGGATATTAAAAAGGCTTTGGTTTTACGGTTTCGTATGATAAGTAACAATGACCGCACCTCCAACTAAATATTCGGTGGAATTGCCTAACTCAAGAAAGCCAGGGCAAACTGGAATTTATCGCAACGCACTCCGACCAGATTCCCTGATCGTTACTTTTAGGTTTGTGATAATTTCTAAACGGGTCTTATTCTAGGAAGCAATAAATCATATCTCTAGAGCTATTTTCCCTTTGCAGACCTGATGTCAAGACCTTGTACGAAAACTTTCAATACGGTAATTGTGTTTTTTACGGTTTCACGGATTCAATGCAAAATTCCTTCTTGACTCTCATTTTGTCGTTCTCCTTTAAGCATTAAAGATCTCGGAAGACAGACCATTTCTTGGTCACAAACCCTTTAATAAATCGACTCGTAAATATGAACCATATTCATGGCAAACTTACAAGCAAGTAGCCGAACGTGTGACCAATTTTGGGTCTGGTCTAATGCACTTAAACGACAACGTGAGCTGCAAAGTTTCTTTCTGCAATATCCGTTTCTCACGAATAATGTTAATTAATCTCTTTCGTTTCGACACAGGTTATCAAGAATCCAAAGTCAGGACAATGGACTGTTGGAATTTACTCAAACAATAGACCTGGTAAGAATCTGGACAATTATGTTTTACGCATTCTGAACTAACCTTCAATTATTTATTCACGAACCAGAATGGTTTATTACCGATATGGTAAATAAGAGAGCTTTTTTGAACCTTCGTTTTCGTTTCTCGTTAACGGATCTTTTTTTCTTTTCTTTCTTTCTTTTTTTTTTTTTTAGGCTAATCTATCATACAATTTGATCACCGTCGCGCTCTATGATACCTTGGGCGCGGGTAACCATTGACCTCTCTCTGTTTAGCATTTTAGTGTTGGATAATGATTAATTATGAAATTTGCGTTCCAACACTAGATACCATCGAATACGTGGCAAATCATGCGGAAATTAAAATTATCGTTGTCGGTGCTAATCATATACCCAGCTTGATTCAAATTGCCCACAAAATCCCTGGGGTGAAAGTTTGTGTGTCAATGGACAGATTGGATGATGATGAATACACTTCCATTGGATTAAACATGACAGGGAAAATCTTAAGATCGTGGGCACAGGAAAAAGGTATTATGCTCTTGGACTTTAACGAAGTTGAGAGGATGGGTCAGCAACACCCTCGTAAGCACAATGCACCGTCACCAAATGACATCGCTTCCATATGCTATACGTCTGGTACGACTGGCACGCCTAAAGGTGCTTTACTTTCACATGCGAGCTTCATTGGATCCTTGTCAGCTGTCTATCATACTTCAACTTTAAGGCAAGATGATGTATGTTTTCATGCATTGTCATTTTAAAAATATAAAGTCGGTAAATATATCCTTCACTGAATATACTTTGATTTTCATCGCAGGTCTTCATATCATATTTACCGGTAAGGATACAACACATCAATTAATATTGGGTTGTTGCTGATTGTAAACAATTATTTAATAATGCACAATAGCTCGCTCATGTCTTTGGACGCATTGGAGAGCTTGCAATAGTCAGCTACGGTGCCAGCATTGGATATTATAGAGGGGATATTCTTAAACTTATTGAGGACATGGAGGAATTGAAGCCGACACTTTTCGCAACAGTTCCGAGGTTGCTCACGCGTATTTATGCCAAAATTCAACAATCCACTATTAATGCTCCTGGTGTCAAAGGAGCGTTATCAAGAAAAGCTTTTGCTACTAAGATTGAACGATTGGATAAAGGACTCGGTAACACGCATCCCTTTTGGGATCCAATTTTTTTTAATAAAATTAAGCAGGTACTGGGCGGTCGTGTGCGAAGAATGGTCACGGGATCAGCGCCCATAACTGCGGAGATATTACAATTTTTGAGGGTCGCCTTTTCTTGTGACATAACTGAAGGTCTGCATGCAGTTTTGTGAAGATCGATCTTGTGTGCAGCATTTCGTAAAGAATAACACGCTTATTTCTCTGTCTACGAATCTTAGGCTATGGTCAAACGGAAGGTATTGCTTCGGCAACAATATCTCTCGAAGGTGAAAATAGGGCGGGCCACGTAGGTGGTCCAGTGATATGGTAAAAATATAGTAACTATAAAAATTTCTTGATCTTATTGTTCCGGCATCATATCATACTCACCTGTGTCATATTCTGTCTCACATCATTTAGCTGTGAAATAAAGTTGGTGGATGTTCCAGAGATGAGTTATTTTTCAACTGATAAACCATTCCCCCGCGGAGAATTGTGCATTCGTGGTACAAACGTATTCTCTGGTTATTACAAAGATGAAGCAAAAACAAAAGAAACTATTGACGATGAAGGATGGTTGCACACCGGTGACGTGGCTTACATTGATGAAAGAGGTAGGGTTTTATCGAATTCTCTATTTTAAAAAACTATACTATTTTTGTGACAACATTGATTTCGTCTATAGGTGCTGTAACCATAATTGATCGTAAAAAGAATATATTCAAATTGTCCCAAGGGGAATATATCGCTCCAGAAAAGGTGAGAGATCATAATTTATTAAAATTATTTCAAGTGCATTAGCGTTACGCTCATCTGTATGATGTTTTATCTACAGATCGAAAATGTGTATGCCACTTCCGGCTTAATACTACAAATATTTGTGCACGGCGATTCGATTCGTGACCACCTTGTCGCCATTGCAGTTCCAAACCCAGAAGTCTTTGTTCCGTGGGCTAATACATTAACTGGACAAAAAATTTCGTTGGGTGACGAAAAAGGATTAGAATCTCTTGTTAAGAATGACCTCGTAAGAAATGCTTTTTTTGGAAGAAATAAACAAAGTTGGTAAAGATGCTAAACTCAAAAGGTTTGTGTTTTATTCTTGGTATGTTGGAGTAAATGTCAGTTATCTTCCTAAATTCTCATCATTCTGATGCGTTCACAGTTTTGAGTTGGTCAAGGCCATCCATCTTACGCATGTTCCATTTTCTATCGAAAATGATTTATTGACCCCGACGTAAGTAAAATAAATAAAATTCGATATTCGCCAACGACTCAATTAACTGATCCATCTTCGTTTATTTGAAATTTGTGCAGCTTCAAAATTAAGCGAAACGATGCTCAAAAATACTTCCGTAATGTGATTGATAAGTTATATGGAGGGAGGGATGATGTGAAAGCTAAATTGTGACATCAAAAACATTACTTTCATAATAGATAATTATTTTTAAATTTAATACCGAATGCCGATGTCGAAGGCATATAATGTATTTATTTTCGCTTCCTGATGTATCGCTACATTTCAGCTCGAGGAAAATCTTTTTGATATGTTAGACATCCATTTCCAGACTATATTTAAATAAAAATCAAAAATCAAAATCCTCACGTAATAAAAAAATGATGTACTGTACATACGCGTGAGAAGTGATGATCCGATACCATATTTGGAATAACTTTTTATAGGATGGACACGCTTTTTGCCCTTTACCACAAAAATGAGGACGCCTACACTCACTCAGTCTTCTAAAACGTATTTTAATATCTGCGCATTTCCTAGAAAAACTTACCCCTCCTTCCTCGGCGCCATCAAACTTTCGAATTTATTTTTTCGGTATCACAGATATTCCACTGTCAAAGAGACTCTGGTCGAGGAGCAAACGAATCAGGCAAAGAGTAAGCACATCTGTCAAGCGCTGACTACAAGACCTCCCGTGTTACTATCCGGTTGCCCATTTGATTGTAGACAAAGGATTGCGTTTGGGGTTAATTGAACTGCGAACCGTAATTTTTAATCAAAGTACCGGGCAAGTACTCGCAAATAATGCAATCGAACTTATTTCACCATACATCCTGGTGAATCGGTTAACACGGCAGGTAGTTCGGTCAGCGCGAAATTTTGTCGCCTGATCTATGGGACCCGGCTAATTTTCTTTCCATTCACCTTTATCAGGAAGTTTCAACGCGGTGAACGTGGAAATGCTACCGGATTGGTTGTACACACAAGTTTTTCCGAATCAAGTTCGAGATTCTCCCCCCCATGAGCGTGTAAGCATATCTATACATCACTTGATTCAACAAGGACTTTACAATAAAGAAACCGAAGAATTTCCGCCCATAGATTATTTCAAATTGCCGGAACTGTGTGGTGACTCAATAGCCGAGCATTTTTGGAAAATTGGTGAACAACAAGCGTGCGATAGCAGAGAGTTAGCCAAAGGATTCGCCGAATCAGAGCTGCCGGACATGCCGGAGGAGGGAAAATGGGTGTTCAATGCGGGATGGACGCGTTATAGAGGTGGTGACATGTCACCTGAGCCTGTAGAATATCCCGAGGAAAGCGTCCTATGTTTCGATGTTGAAACATTACTTAGCGACAGTGACTACGCGCTCATTGCCTGTGCTGCTTCCTCACAAGCGTGGTACGTTTGGTTATCCCCGCGACTTATAGAATATCGCGATCGTTACTTAAAAAAAATGGAAAGTGATGCAAAGACAGATTGCGAGTCGGTGACGGCGACCGATCAGCGAAAACAAAAATCCGATAAAGATATCGAAGTTGTCGAGACCTCCTGTGATGAACGTAAAAAAATTGGCAGCTTGATCCCCATGGGGAACTTGGACAAAGAAAGGATTATAGTTGGTCACAACGTTGGATTTGATCGCGCGCGCATCAGAGAGGAGTATCATCGAGACAAATCGTGCAATAGATACTTGGACACCATGGC